GCAGTGTCAGAAACTCCAAACACAGTCTCAAGACGAGAAAGTAAGATGTCATGGTCAACAGTGTCAAAAGCAGCACTGAGATCAAGGAGGATGAGTATAGAAAGAGAACCAGAATCAGAAGCTATTAGAAGATCGTTGGTGACTTTGACCAGGGCCATTTCTGTGCTGTATTACGTATTATTTATGTATATTGCGTATTAATTCACAGCTCGTCTATATATTTTTATTTGATGGGAAGTGGGGCTGCTGGTGTAGACGTAACCGATTGTGTAGCACTGCATAAAGCAAAAAACAAAATCACACAGCCCCAACTTCCAGAAACATAGGCATCTGTTTTTTGGATTTATTGGCTTGAACGGCCAAATACATTTAAACCAATCTATAACCTTAAAAAAGTTAATCTTGAGAACAACTTTAGAACCATATTTTCGAGGAAATATTGAACATCTGCTGTATGCCTGTATGCCTGTAATGTCATGTACTGTCACACTGCTTCGTTAAATGCCTTGGGGCAACCTTGGTGTGAAAGGCGCTATATAAAATAAATGGAATTGTATGCTGACAGGAGTGCTCCTTCTACTGATGTTGTTACATAAACATTCTTGACATCGTGTGCTCACCAGGAGAATCGAGATGCTGTTTTATTAACTATTGTGGAAGAAATTCACATATAAAAATTAGATCACTTCACAAATAGCAAACAGCACCTTTAAATCACCAAACCCTACTGGTAATGTGTCACATCCTATCACACCAAATCAAAACTGCAAGCAACTCCTCAGCTGTACGCAGAAATGTCTAGTGTGTAACACCATATCACGACGTTACTGCCCAGTCCACACTGGACGTGTGTATATTGGATAGCTCTCGGATATCCTCAGAACTTTTATTAAATTACCAAATTGGCAAAATCCACACTGTTGTCTGAAACAGCTGCTCACTAGAAGGGCTGGACATCGTTTAATGCTCCTGGGATGTTCCCGAGGAAGATCCTGAGCGAAGCAGGTGAGTTGCACACACTTCGGATGACAAATTCCAATGAGAATGAAAAAGAAAACTGAGTGCTCCCCGTCAGCCTCACCACAGTCATCATTTCTGCCCTCTTTTTCCAAAACCATTTCCAGACACCCCGAGTCTCCCAGAAATCAGCGGCTCCGCCCTGACTCCCTCCCGCCAGTGATCCATGATCTCCCGGAAATCGCCCCCCCCCACCCCCGCTCCCAACGTTTTCTGTTGGCCACACCCCCGGCCCCAAAAACCATCAGCAAATTATTTAATGATATAAAATGACCTTGAGCCATCTGAGAATCTGCTCAGAACTGCTAAACATGCCGCATCTCTGTATGACGAGAGTTTGCAAAGAAAGTGAGGTTATTCAAGTGGACTGGTGAGTTATAGTATTTATAGTGTAATACATACAGTATATATATATATTATAGTATCTATCGGCAAATTATTTCATTACATGGCTGTGATTTTTTTTAAAGGGGGACGGGATGGACAACCCCCCCCTTCCTGAAAACAATTTTTCAAAGTTGGGATGTCTGCATCTCCTTTTAATTCTTACACCCACGATCAATCCATCTGGTCATTTCTACGAGCCCTGGCACTGCGGCCCTTGGTCTTGCCTCATTGCCCCACGTGACTGGCACCTGTCACCCGATCCCTGCACAACAGCGGAAGGGGCTGGAACTGAAAGAGGGGTTTAGACTCACGTCTGCAGCTCCCACTGCCAAGAAAGCTGTTATTGTCCCCCGAGCGCTGCAACTGATACCAAGAATATCACTGTGACTGATTACTTTCCAAACTTGTTTATGCTCACTAGTTTAGAAGAATGCAGTACACTGTAGATATGAATTCTGTAAACTGTATAAACACTTCCCTTGCAAACTCTTCCCTCAATAGAGATCCTTATTGAGGTACTAAGTTGATCATATGACTGTTTTGTAATACTTGGAACTTTCTAGTTCCAATTGCAGTAGATGCAGTGGCACAAAATGTCCTTACCATATTGTAACAGACAAATAAGTTCTGGATCCCGAGATCAAGTTTAAACAACTGAGTTTATTGCATGAAAGGAACAATAAGATTAAAGTATTGTTTGTAATATAGGTACAAAACATCCAGTTTATACAGCAAACTTCAGCCACTTCTGACGCAACTTGTTACCATGGTAGTTGGGGGAGGTCACCTGTGTTCGGGCATTCCCAAGACCTTGAGCACTTTGAATGGCCAGTTGTATCTTCCCTTAGTTAGGGAGTCTGTCTTGAATTGGATTCTCTTATCAGTTAACTCCCATCCCTGCCATAACTCAAAAGTGCTTAAGCACTTGGAATGTCTTGCGTCACGAGAAGTCTTTGTGCAGAAAGAAATCAGTTAACCCATTTTTCACATCTTATATCTTTCTTCAATCTCATTCAGTACAGTTTCTAGCCTGCCACCTTACCATGTCCTACTCTTCCACATGATAATCTCCACAGTGGACTCCAGTAACCCCTAACCCTGGACTATCGTATTGTACAGTATGTGCGATATGATAGCCAAATACCAGCCACTGACCTACTAATCCCCTGCCACACTGGGGCTGAGCAGGATCTGGAATAGGCCTCCTTCACAATATCACACAGGAGAGACGTATCCCAATATGTCTGGGACAACACAGCATGAAGAACAGCAGGATGCAAACTACTGCATTTTGGAAGGGACCCAAAGACTGGCACAGCCATGTAAGAGATGTTTGCTCTGGGATTGAACGGCCAACACAAGGGGCAGGAATTTATATACAGTATTTCCCCCATTTTCATATATAAGTGTGGCTCCCTCGAGCAGGTGGAGTATGATTTGAACAGTATTTCGCGCCAGGAATGGACAGCAGTCCCGCACCACAGAACAGCAGGTTCCAGGTTCAATAAGCGTAACTTCATTCAAAATCCTATTCAAATCCTTCTCTTTATTTTCGGAGTCCCACCTACCTCAGTTAAAATGTTTCCCTTTAAAGAAGAGTGTCTAATGTATTTTAGCTTTGTAGAGGTCCACATGTTAATCTGCCTTTCACGGTACCGTGCAAGACCAGTTTTCTGGGAAGTCAACAAATACTTGATTGACCGTCCCAGTTCTGCGGCAGGTTGCGCAACTTCACGATCTGCGCCTGTCAGCAAACACAAGCGTCTCCTGGCTCAACTTCCAGAACTGGAAGCAAGAAAAAGCTAACTGCATGCATGGACATGTAGTACTGATCAATTTTACTGTGAGGTTTTTCTGCCTGAAAGCAATTTCTGAAACTACAGTTACCACAATGCATCGATACTGACGGTCCCTTTAAAGAGAGGTTGGTCAGGGTGCAGAAGTGTATTGGTGCTTGGGTGTACAGTAGGTGGCTCATGTAACGGGAAAGCTCAGCTAATTTTAGAAGAGGACAGCTGTCATTAGACTTTTAGCGACACAAATAAAATGTATTATTTTTTAAAAGTCAGAAATATACAGTTACTCATACAGTGACTGTCGGATAGCCCAAAAGATTATTAAACTCACAGTTTTACTTATAGTTCAGGCAGCATCTTAAGGGTAAATCTATTAACCGGTATAGATTGACAGTTTTCAGACTTGTCTTCAGTCGGGGAAACACAGAGCAGTGGCAGGTGTGGTCTTGGCCATGTGCTCGGCGGACCGGGAGGCAGGGACGTCCCTGCAGCAGCTGAAACGACTCGCCGGCAGCTGTATCGACGCGGCTCGGGACAGGCTGTGCGCCTTGAGCAGGGACATATGGAGCTGCCCCGAGCTCGCTTACGAGGAGAAGAAGTCCCACGACATCCTGGTCCGTTTCTTCCAGGAGGAGAAGGGCTGGAGCGTCGAGCCCCATTACAAACTGGACACCGCGTTCCGGGCGACCTGGGGACCCACCGGCGGCGGCGGCGAGGATGGGGAGAGTTGTCTAAACATCGGGTTCCTCTGCGAGTACGACGCCTTGCCAGAAATCGGCCACGCATGCGGGCATAACCTGATCGCAGAGGTCGGTGCAGCCGCAGCCATTGGGTTAAAAGGTGTGCTGGAAAGCATGGGCGATCCTTCCGTCCGAGTGAAGGTAAGGCACGCCGAGCAATGTACAGTACGAATAGTGTCATGAGCTTATTATTATTATTATTATTATTATTATTGCCTTCGCCACAGTCAGCAGGATAAGCGGCGTCCTGATGATATGCAATGTTGTAATCAGACATGCGATAGAGGTGTCTGTGTGGCGCGTTTATCTTTGCGTCTTTTCTGTAAGTTTATATTTAGCTGTGCAGTGAGAGCAAAGTGCCTCCTTCCCGGCTTGCAGACAGTTTTGAGACACTGCGAGAGGGCACAGGACAAGTCATTTTGCGCGAGTGTCATAAAACAAGGTTAAAAAGTGTCAAAGCGTTTCATAAGCGACAATACAATCAATGATTTTGCCACGGAGGCAACAATGATAGTGCAAATTAGCTCTGCGTGTATAATTTCACGTACAGTATGTTGGGCACACAGCGCAGTTGTCACGTCATGTCATTTGCCAAACCACTTTATATCATACGGTGTCGCGGGAAGCCGGAGCCTACCCGGCAAGCAACGAGCGCAAGGCAGGGTACACCCTGGACGGGACGCCAGTCCATCGCAGGGCAAGTGCAAGCCAATCATACATGGGGACAATTTGGAGGCCACGGTAAAGGCCGAGGGGTCAGAATTTGTCCCGGACTCCGGCATAACTCCGTACTCTTATCGAGAAATGCTCCTGGATCTTTAATGACCACTGAAAGTCAGGACCTCGGTTTAACGTCTCACCCGAAAGACGGCAGCGCAGCGGTCATGTACCGTATTGCGTCCGTGTCTGTGCGCACGGTGGTCGCACACGAGAAATCCCTTTCGAGAGCTCTAGAAGCTCCGGTCGACGTCAAACTTTCCCCCCAAGTGATAGGACTTGCAACATAGGACACAGCCATTGGAATCGAGCAAAACTGAGAACAACCAGCTGCCTGGGCTGTGTTTTGGATCAGTGTAGTTGTAGCGAGTTACAGGTCCTGTTGGGGACCTGGGATAACAGGAACATGTTGTGAAGAGCGCTGCCGGCGTGGGAGAGGAACAGGGTGGCGAGTTTTACAGACTCGCTGAGAGTTTTTTTGCCCCTTCCATTGGCACCTGTATGTAAATAATTTTCGATAATTTATTATATTTTTTAATGATTTTATAAAATGTAATAATCTTCCAATAATTTTCGGTTTTTGCACTTACAAAATGTAGCCATATGATGAGCTACTACTGTTTCCCCATAGTAGAAAAATTATATGTTCAAATATTCGGTTTTTGGTTGCAAAAAAGTCCCAGCCCCCAGTTACATATCTGGATCCCTGACCACGGAGCTACACTGCTGTTTTGTGTCATGTGCTGTACAAGGCCTTTCCTAGGAAAAATTGTACAGTTAACCTTGGCCACCCTCAAGGTCTGGTTTGGTGCCGAATTAACCGTGATGTGAGTGCTTGAAATTTGTAATCCTTACAGTGCAAAAAGCTTCTACAGAACAGTAGGTTGGGAAATGCTCATGACGCATGCCTAATCCGGTGTCGGTGATCATGGTGCATGACTCGTCAGCCTAAGAGAAGGGTAATTTATCAATATTTTATAGGTAAAATATTTAGATTCTTTGGTAAAGCTGCAGCAAGTTGGCCTGGCGGCGGAGATATTGCTTGTTCGTGTCTTCACCGCGGCAGGAAGCCCGTCTGTTTGGCTGGCGCAGGAGAAGGCAGTGGCAGGGGCCTTGGAGGCTTCAGTAATCCAGAAGCCTGCCGCCGCTTCTACGGTCATCTCAGGCGCTCGGCGGGACGATGGCGGTGCCCTCCCGTGCGTGAGGAAAGAGTGTTTGGCGTCTGCAGGTGACGGCGATCGGGACTCCGGCGGAGGAGGACGGGGGAGGGAAGATCGACCTGATGGAAGCCGGGGCGTTCGAGGGCTTGGACGTGGTGTTCATGGCTCACCCTTCTCAGGAGGATGCTGCCTACCTCCCTGACATGGCGGACCACGAGTAAGGGGAGCTGGTTACCGCCGAGTGGGCACACGGGGGAACTGCAGGGCTACAGATGGAAAGCCCAGGAGCAAGCGTTTCTGCAATCATTGTCTCCCACACCTGTGCAGAATCGAAGTACAGCTTCAAAAACAGAGTTATTCATTGACCAAGCCTCGGCATTTAGCCGCAGAGTGATCCGAGTGGCTAATGCTAACTATAAATGTTACGGGACAGTGACGAACTAAAGATCTATACTCATTTTGGTGCAAAGAATCATGAATTGCGTTGGGAATTAACTCTACTCTTGAAACTCCAGTAAATAAAACAATGCAAATATGTAATTCCTCCAAATGTACAGCATGACCAACACTTTATCTGACAAAGGTATAGAGCACTGTTGCACACAGAGACCAAAAAAAAACATATTAAGTGGTTTGTAAAGTGCTTGTCTGTTGTGACCAAAGCTAAGTGAGGTCTGAATTTACCAGTACAGACGTTCCCGTGTTTTTGTGTTTCAGTGTGACTGTGAAGTTCTACGGAAAGCCTTCCCATGCTGCCGCTTACCCCTGGCAGGGGGTCAACGCGTTAGATGCCGCGGTTCTTGCTTATAACAACTTGTCTGTGCTGAGACAGCAGTTGAAACCTGACTGGAGACTCCATGGTGAGGACCCCCGCACTACTGCTGTTTATATTCCCTCTCGCTGACCGCGATGGTTACCTGAATGTAACTGTTTGCAAAACAAATATTGCTTTAGCTCCACGTGACCGGCTGGCTGAAGTTTCCAGTACTGTTAGTGTCGCCTCCCTTCCTGTTTCAGGCATCATCAAGCACGGCGGAGTGAAGCCCAACATCATCCCGGCCTATTCCGAGATGGTGTTTTACCTGCGGACGCCGAAGCGCTGGGACCTGCCTGTTCTCCGAGAGAAGGCCGAGAGGTGCTTCAGGTCCGCGGCCTGCGCAACGGGCTGCCAAGTAAGCATGAGGAGCAGGGTGTTAGTTTGGACCTCACGGTCTTGCGCTTCACTGTCCTCACACGCCACACGGGCCCCTTGTAGAAGGGGTTTGGACGGCAGTTGTGAGCATGAAATGAACCCCGCTGTAAAAGCAGCCTGGAAGATGTCTTAGAGCAGGGGGTCGGCAAACGTTTTACAGCGAGGGCCACTAAAAAGTTCTTACTAACCTTGCTGGGCGCCCCCGCGTGAAATCCTCTTATCTAGCCGGTAAACTCACCGACTGGACTAGGCCGCGTTTCTCCGCGCACATCTCCTCCGCGACCTCTTGCAGACGCTGCTGAATAAACTCCCCGTCCGCGGGGTTACAGGTTTCGTTAGGCAAAGCAGGTCTTGCCAGCTGCTGCTAGAAGCCGTGATACTCGATAACTAGCTCGGGTAGCCCCAACGTTTTCTCAGAATCTTCTCTTGAACAGTTTATGTAGCCCCCTAAGCGACTTTTTCAACTCTTCTAATTTTTCCCTTTGTCCATCTCCTGTGTGTTCCGGAAACTTAGCCTGATGTTTTGTCTTGTAAGACCATTTTTATGTTGTATTCTTTAATCACGGCGATTGTTTCCTGAATGATAAGACGCTGTACATGACCTTTTCTTTCCAAGGGACACAAAACGTTCTCTTCTGACCACTTGTCGTTGAGTTTCTGACCCTCTGCATCGATCTTTCTTTTTTTCGACATGGCAGGAATATCTTACAGTTAGCCTCTTGTCAGTTATGACTTTTAGAACCGTTTGAAATCATGACCTGCTTTCAAACAAGATAGCAAACAGTAGACGTCATTTGCGTGACTGAGCCAATCACAGTAGGCAACAAAAATCCGAATGTATCTACGGTAAGAATCAGCTGTAGCACAGGCGTATGTAACCTGAGCTAAAGCTAGTCTGATAGGCTAAAAGTCAAATGCTTTGTGCAAAAGGTGTTTTTCTGCAATTGACCGATAGTGCTGAGATAAAGCAGCAGAGCCACTGACGGAAGATTTTCAATATCTGATGCAAAAAGTTACCCCCAAGATTCAAACAGTAGTGGGCTGCAGGCATTTGGGCCGCGGGTAGTTTGCCAACCCCTGACGTACAGCCATATAGACAGGACTATCCTCTCCTTAAAGAGGATCCTTCCCACCAGACAAGTTCTGAGGCCCGTTGTCACGGCACTGGTGAAAAATGGCCTGTTTTGTGACGCTGCAGTTGATGGACTTTCTCTGCGTTGGAGTCTTTGGATTTTAAATTTTCCATCGAGTCCTGAAAGCTTCACATGAAGTAAAAGCCGGGACGTTATGAAGCAACAGTTACACAGTGCTTCTATTTTCAGCTCATTGTGAAATGGCAATTCAAACCAAGGCTTTGTGTTTCAGGTTGAGCTTCAGTATGCGGCACATGAATACCACAATGTTCTTCCTATTAAAACGCTTCATCGCCTCTATGAGGAGAATGGAAAGTTACTTGGTATCGAATTTACAACTGATGAGGAAGTCCTAACTACTTCTTCAGGTAAAAATAAAGCTGGTTTCACACGTGGTGCTGTTTTGTTGCTATGTTAGTAATACGAGTGGGCTGGCACAAATACAAACTTGTTTCCAGCAGTGGGGAGCGAGGCATGAGTAATATTACATTTCAGAAACCCTTATGAAAGTTAGTGGTTCAGGAGCTAGAAGCAATACTAAGTCAGCCACAAACCGCTTTTTAGTGTTTAGTTTTTTAAAGGACATCACAACTGACAATGTGCAGTGAAGCATTTTCAGTCATTCCTGAAGTTTTATGCCAGTGTCAGGGCTGTGTGACTCTAATTGTTATTTTTCTCTGCTCAGTTTGTGAAGATTTTAAATTTATTCCAAGAAGTAAAAGATGGGAATAATGCTTTTCAGGCAAAAGAGAAAAAAGGCTTCCTGACCAAAGTGAAAATAGAATGAGATGAACTGTTAGCTGCAGAGTCCATAAATGAAGCCAGTTATTTAAGAGCAAATAACTGGTTCAAGAACAAACCATGTTTAAAGTAGAAACAAGGACAAAATCCTTAAGGACTTAAACTCGCACTACGTACATAGGAACATGGAAACACGGTTTAAGAAAATTGTTAGTGGCTATAAGAGACGGTTGTGTGAATATCTTCTGAAGCCACATACTTGAAGTGTAACACAGTTAGACTTTGTGTGACGTATTTTAACTCATGTCCAAATACTCCCCTTTGGATTCCTGTGTAAGTGAGGTGATACACCTCCATGAAGCCTTGGGAGTATACGGTTTTAAATAACTCTTTTAATAAAAGTATCAGCATATCATTTTAGTGAAGTTCAATAAAACCCTTTAACAAAAAAGACAGGAAAAAGAGTTTATAGCACTTCTGGTTGTTGGTGAGGAACCTTGAATTCAAGCCTGTAACTCCTTTAGGACTGGCTTTTGAAAGTCTTATGCTAGGCATTTCTGAATGAACCTAGTTAAAAAAAAACGTTTTCGTGTGATTAATAGCACTCCAGTAATTAAAAAATAATCTTGTTTTTGTTCTTCACAGGCTCCACAGATTTTGGCAATGTGTCACAAGTAGTTCCAGGAATCCACCCCTATTTTTACATCGGCTCCGAAGCACTAAATCACACAGAAGAGTATACTGCTGCCGCCGGTACGACTGAAACACGGGTCAAAACGTCTACCGCTGTGCTGTGACCAAAATCCAGAGTGATGATCATAAATATTAGCTCCATAGGCGCCAAATAGCATTTCCTCACATTCAATAACAAAAACCTGTTTCATTTAATTACTGTATTTGTTTACTATTTCCCTTTTTATCTTTCCTGTTGAAAAGTTGAACTTCAAATCCATGCAGTTCCAGGTTTCGTTAGGCAAAGCAGGTATTTGTAAGACTAATTAAACGAGGTTCCAGGTTAGCAGGCATGGCTCAGTATTATGCCCACGTCTTTGATCGTTGGTGTTTTTGTGCTGAAATGTAAAAGACAGCATTACTCTCTCCTGCAGGTTCAGAGAAGGCTCAGTTTTACACCCTGAGAACTGCTAAAGCCCTGCTGATGACGGCCCTGGACCTGATTTTCAGCCCGGAGCTGCTGAAGCAGGTGAAGGAGGATTTTGCGCTGGCCAAGCGGAGTGAGGAAAGACAGCTGCGAAGGAGAGAACAGGGCAGAGAGTCAAACTCTGTGCACTGCAGTGGGGCGTCTCAGTGAACCAGAGCACCAGGCTGCTGTCCAGCCAGGCACCTGCTTTTATTCACTGTTCACCATCACTGTAACACTCTTTCTACTGTCAAACATTGTACCAGTGGCCTTTTGTACTACATATGCTGCATAGACTTTTTTTTTGCTTGAGACTTTTTATAGTGTGTTACCTTTACAACTTTGATATTTTATTGGATTGTGACGTGCAAGCTCTCCTGATGGAGCTTTTAAGGACTGACAGTGGAAATAAGGGTGGCATCTTTCCTTTTTGTTTTACTTTTTAATGAATCGTCAGGCAGCAGCTTGTCCAGGCAAGCCTGGGTACTGACCGGGAGCACAATGTGAACGCTGGCCATTGCTCCACACCTCCTGCTACAAGAGGACATATTTAATCCACCAAAGACGCACCGGCCTCAGGAAAGCCAACCTGGAAAATCCCTCCTCAACAAGGCTCATCCAACACCCTCCTGGCCTTCACCTCCCAAGACAAAAGTGCTGCACTCTGAACTGCTTTAGGACTCAGACTAAATTAAAGACTAAATTTAGGACTTAGACTTAGACTAACTTCAAAGAGAAGCTTCAGGAGAGGAGTCTCGAAGAATCCTAGTCAAGTCTCAAAGCCAAGGCAGGTAATATTTAAGGCAGAGAGGTTGGTGAGTGGAAGGACCTCTGTTCAATTATAGTGAGGTTTTGAATTGCTTGTTATTTTTAATCTCGCTGATGCTTTAAGTGAAAGCATTTATACTCATTTATAGACTTGTTGAGAAGAACAGATCACTTTGATGGCTTTGAACTGTGAGGGAACTCCAGATAGGCTGGAGGCCTGTAGATATTAAATACAAATATCACCCATTTTTGGGGGAAAAAAAAAGTACTGTATTTAGCAGGACACTTTAGGTTGGTAGTACACTAAAAAACTTGTTTCCATTTCTTGGACTTGCCAGGACCAGATATTTCAGCTGTTCTAACTACCCTGAATACAGGTGTATTCCCACAAATACAGGTGTATCCTCTTATTCAGTTTTCTGACTGCTGCAGGACAGTATGATGTCACAGTTTTTAGTCTTTGTGCTTCCTTTTAGTACAAAAGTATAATTTGCATATAAACTTTCCTCTATGAAGGTAAATGGATTTTTAAATTAGAAATGGAATACTTAAATTATGGCAAGAAACAATTGAATAAAGACAAAAGTGGAGTGTTTTGAAGTACATTTTATCTTCACTAAACTACATCTCTCACAAAGTGAACACAGATCTGTTAACTCATATTAGGAAAATAACAAATCGGGTTCATTCTGACAATAATAGTTAATCTTTCAGAATTTAATGTCTTTTCAACCTGTTCACAAAATTGTGCTTTCCATATTTCAAGTGGCACATAAGAAATTGGGCACAAAAAAGCAAATTCTAGTCTGAAAAATTGTTGTCAGTTTATTAACGGTTTCGGGGGGTCACATCTGAAATCTTGCAGAAAGACAACATGCCATTCTTCCAAAACTCAAACATGATCTGGCTTAAAAATAAAAAAGTGTGACAAGAAAAAGTTAACGTTATTTAAAAACAATAGCAAATATAAAAGCAAGACACCCTGGAGGTCCCTGGTAAGGAAACAAATATAAAAACCTGCATGTTCACATACAGCACGACAGTTTGCAACACAGTGATCATTTCAGCTGAGCACTTCAAGCTTTTCCAGATTCAACGTATTGGTGAAGTAGTATATACAAATCAGTTAATTAAAATGATTACAAATAAGACAGATAAAACATGTTTTAAATGCTACCAGGAGCATCTACAAAACACTCTACTGCACTGACTCCTCCTTCTAAGGACAAATGCTATCTCTGATAGTATCTCTAGCAGTCTAAGCTAATCAGTCTGTTGCTTACGGCCTTAGATTTTAGGAATGATAAAGACAGTTTAACTACAATACATTTTCCAAACCTACAAAAGATTTAAGACCATTCTTCAGAGCACTGCAACAGTGTTTTCCCAGTATTTATCCTTCTAAATGAAAACGAAGCACAGAATTGAACAGTACTATGTTATCTGGAAGCATCCATGAAGTCCACGAAAAAAAAAAAAAGGTTTCAGATGTTCCTGGTTTGTTTTGTGCACTATCAGACTGAAAGACACAAAATACTATGCAAGACATTCAAGAACTCAAGTTAGTATGAGCACTAAGCTCAAATACTGAAGTCGACAATAAATGCATCATAATAGTTGCGCAAATCATTTCAGGTAGTGCTGTAAGCCAGCTATTTAGTCAGAAAAAGTGGATGAATTATACAATTATAAATGCATTTCAGATTCATTTACAAAGAAATGTAACTCAAAATGTCAACATATTTGTATTTTAAATAAATTGTGGTTTAGTTGCTCACTTCTACACTTGTAACGTTTTAGGGGAGTATGTGGAGCCTTTATTTCCTCTGAAAAGATTTTATTTAGGTATTTCAATGGTCTATGTATATATAAAGAAAATCTGCCTTATTGTTAAAAAATCTATTTAATTTCCAAAATTCAAAGCAAAAGGTTTTCGGGACCTATGGTACCAAAACGCTGAAGGAAATCTAATTTAAAGCCCTCTGTTGAACGATTATGTACAGCATACTACCACCAGAGGGCATCGTTTGCTACATTTAGTTTTTTTAACTGTTGTAATATCGATCTCTACTCCTCTTTTTAATAGCAAATGTTCAGGACTTAAAAACTTCGAATGATTGCGAAGACTGTTAACCGCCATACTTTCACGGATTATAAACACTTGGGTCACCAGCCTGGCTCGCTTGTCTTGTTGTTTCAGAGCAGCTGAGGTGAAAAGGCTGACAAAGGAGAAACTTAAAAGTTGTGGCATTCTAGGTTCACAAGTTGAGACGTGATCTTTGCTGGGAAATGTAAAATAAATTAATCTGTTCAATAACTCACACTAAAAAAATAAAATCACTGTTGTAATAGGTCCTCCCTGAAGTGTGTTAGTATATGGAAGATTTGGGGAAAGGAGAAGGAAAGTGTGGCCTTTGGACCATCGGAGGTTCAAAAGTGTTTAACGCGGTTTTAAAAATGTCAGTGTAAAAACACAGACATTGCATTTTTCAGGGAACAATAACATCAGTAGTAAAATGCCGAACCTGTAACTACAGAATGTGACTTGTAGTCCTGAGTGTCAGTTTCCACAAATACTACAATCAGGTATTAACGCAGCCTAAGTATCTAAAAATGTACAATTTCCTTGTGGTCTCCTAAACATTTTCAATGATATATGGTCAGCATCTGGAGAAACGTTTTCATCACAGAGCTGTCTTCTCAAGCCAGTGACACTGATGAATTGGAGGGATTTATATATACTGAGCCATCAGATCGTCACTTCTTTTAATGAAAGATAAGCACAATGAAGTAAATGTGAGGGGCACAGCTCCACAGTCGTGATCATTGCAGAGCTCCAGCTCTGAGGCCCTGGGTTCAGTTCCAGATTTGGGGCGCTGTGTGCGTGGAGCTTGTATATTCTCCCCGTGTTCGCGCGGGTTTCCTCTCTCACAGGCGTGCTGGAAGGTCCATAAGCATCTGGGGAAACGGGACCTGGTGTGAGGGTGTGTGTGATGGACTGGCAGCCCCTACAGGGTGTACCCCACCTTGTGCCCTTGGCTTGCAGAGATTGGCTGTGGCTCCCCTGCGCCCCAGAATTGTTTAAGTCATTAGGAAATGGATTGATAGAAATAAATGTGCAATGAATTCAGAAAAAAATGAATTATACTCTATGTATTGTGGATATTGATGAAAAGCTTTCTGGTATCATTTGGATGAATTGATTGTTTATTACTGACTGTGACCTTTTTGCCTTGCGTATTAAATCACCTCACCTTTGCACCGTCAGTATGTCACTGATATAAACTGGGAAGAGCAGTGGTCTTACTGCTCTATTTCTTGACTTTCTCCTGAGGCATTGTGACATGACTGGATTCCAGCAGCAATACAATAGCTTTCTTATGACATGGCAATGAGACCTGAGCCCCACTGGAAATCTGGGGTATGAGCAGCCCCGACCTGCGGCATCTGGGGCTCAGAGACCAGTGAACAGGCACAGACAGTACAGGTTCAGGGTCTATGAGGAATGAGACCCAGTGCAAAGCACGTGTCGCAGTTGTGCAGCTTATAGTGCTTCCATGACTTTCACAGCAGACCAGGACAATTTCTTTTTGGCATAATGAATTTATGTGATTAATAAAAATGTCAGTGGTGCTTTTTACAGAAAGAAATGTAATTTTCCTAATGTGAATTTGTGGATGTTCTAAGTTTGTTTTGGTGCTCCGTGTACTGTATAGGAGTCTGAACAGGGTTTCCTTTCACCGTATCCTTCCTATAAGGCAGGGGTCACAAACAGGTGGCCCTGAAGACCTTTCATTGTAGCCCTGAGAGGTTACAGTTATAGTTTATAGCATGAATTTCAATGTCAAAAGTACACCTCTCGGGTTTTTGCATTGCTAAAGATAAAAAGCTGTGGGGGAAATGATAAAAATAAAGATAAAAATGCTGTTCTGTGTTGTTTGTGCGTTTATTCTACATTAGGACTGAGAAACTGTGGGAAAAAGTTATAATTTTAAGTGAGAAATGGTGGGAAAAAGTTTTACACTGTATTTTCAACTAGCCACGACTATGTTTCTTTAACACTAGTGATTGCGTGGATATGCTCCAGAGAAAACGCATTATCTAGTTGTTTCTTCTTTTTTGGCTCATTGTCAAAGGTTTCTGTGACACCTATATGGCGAATTGAAATTTTTACATTCCACTACGCGTTCTACACTTGCCATTTTGTTTAGGAGCTATTGAAAACCTGCACACTTCCTGCGGCAGTGCGAACTGTAGGGTAGACGGCCAATTCGATAGTGATGCTTTCCCACGTTCACGTCCATTGGTCTAAATCTCCCCCAATGCCTCCTCCTTAGAGTACAGCCGTGTATATCTGACATTTTATATCTGGACTGCATTTCAACTTTCAAAGTTTCAACACGATTTAAAAACCTGAAGTGTTCTTGCTAGAAGCCGATTTTAAACTCGGTAGACAATGGTACTAAAAAAGTAAGAATTATTGCATCGCCACTTGAGTTAGAAACCAATTGATCTGCAGTCGTTTCCGAGCAATGGGACTGCAGGACTAAGAGTAGATGGACCAGTAGATGATGTTGAAGAGGATGTAGGCACCAGGAAAGATGATGCGGGAGTACTTGTCGATGGCGTGCGTGTCGATCCACATGCTCACGTAACTTCTTGAGTTCTTCCTTCTACTCGTCGTCCGATCATCCCCCAGCGCCAGGTGCACTAAGATCCTCTCCTGCTTTTCCCCGTTCTCGGGCACGCCGTAGGTCCCAGTGGTGTTGACGTCGACGTCGCTGTAGCTGGTTCCCATGATCAGCTGCCGGGGATGTGCCAGGCCGCAGGTGCAGGGGAGCTGCCGGTGGAAACACGGATCGCACAGGTCACCCGGCTACAGAACGCGCCCAGCACAGGACAGCCGTCTCACCTCGACGCAATCGCGCATCAGGCATAGGGAGTGCTCGCTCGTTAAACTGTCGCCTTTATCGACTCGGGGTGACCTGTCTTCTAACGAAGGTGTTCACTCTGCTCGGCCTGTCTCGGCCCTCGGGGTCTCATCTTGCCTCGCCCTCTTGCCTGTCCGTTCCAGGAGGGAGAGCGGAACTTTTGGAAATGCCCAGAAAAGTTGCGTACTACTGTGCAGGAAATGACAGATGTGAAAGGGCCTCTTTCTTTAACTAAACGCTCCTAACTCAAAAAGAGCTGGAATCTGTGAAAGAACTGAGAGTTTTCAAAAGAATGAGTGGAGAGAGAATCTAGAAGGTGGTAGATCCTTTGCAGCTTGCACTCTAGTGCAGCTCCACTCCAGAGATTTGAGCCTTACGCATTTGAAATAAACAGGTTTATCGATGCAGGGCCTATTCTCACCTCCCATTCTCTTGAGATCTCAGATTTAAACTCTTTCATCAATATTTATGCTACACACCCACCCAATCTGGGCCCACCAGTTGTGTTAAGGCTCATCTTTCTGGCAACGTCTCCTGTAACAACTTAAGAAAGTGACATGTGGTCATGCTGCTCTAGAGCTTGTCACGTGACACTTCATCAGCCCCACAAGGCCTAACAGGAGTGTATTCTCCAGTTCAAGTACATCCCTGACTGATACCTCTGTGTGTGCCGGCAGGCACCTGGAAAGATGCATCACTGTGTCTCTGACTGTCCTGTCCTGGCTAAGACAAATCCCACCAGCCTGGTGTCACTTCTGTGTCCTGTTGCTCCAGAACACCATCAAAGTCAGCTAGTGACAAGAGCTTAATTAATGTAGGCTTAATGAGGCATAGATTTGGTACATCTGGGCTCAACCTACTCTTGCAGCAAGCACCTTTACTGAATGAGCCTCTCGACACTTTCCCTCCCCCTTCCCAGCGACAGCAGAACTTGTGTGCTACAATAATAGGGATCCTACCCACATCTGGAATTCCTCCTCCTGCTCCGGCACTTGACAGATCTTACCCTGTCTCGTATCTTTCTCTCCTTCCTCTCCTGCACGGTGGTCAGGTAGTTGACGGCGGCGTACTCCAGCACCGACAGGAACACGAAGACGAAGCTGACCCAGAGGTAGATGTCCACCGCCTTGATGTAGGAGACCCTGGGCATGGAGGCGTTGACTCCGGTGATGATGGTGGACATGGTGAGCACCGTGGTGATACCTGTCACACAGCCAGAGAGCACCCTCGTTAACACGGGGCCTCGGGGCTCCGGCTGCTGCTCGGCCAATGGAAGGCAGAAGGCAGGGCTGTGGCCAGCGAATGGGAGGACCAGAAACACCCACGAGACTTGGCGGCAGCTGATATGGCTGCAGAGAGCAGCTTGCTATAAATTATATAGGAAACCAGTGCAAACAGCGTGCATGGAGGTGTCGACAGAAATACTGTTATAAGTCAACATGACTCCCTCAGATCTTTCTCATTTCCCCACTGAAGCCAGTACTGGCTTTGAAAAGACGTCCTCACCCAAAGGGACTCGAGCTGGTACGGCCCTGCGGTCGATCCAGAAGGACACCCAGGACAGCATGACCATCAGAGTGGCCGGGAAGTAGGTCTGGAGCAGGAAGAAGAAGATGTGGCGCCGCAGAGTGAAGTTGATGTACAGCCTGTTATACCAGCCTGAGAGGGAAACCGCAAAACACACCGCTGCACTTACTGTATAAGCCCATGTTCCCTAACACAGTCTGGGATGCTGAGTGCCTTTTCCAAAGAGGGGGACTTTTTCGCTGCTCTGCTTTTGCAGATTTTGTTTCAAGTGATTTCACTATTGTACGGTGTAAAAACAGTGGTAAATTCAAGATGGAGTTATTGTAAATGGCACTGACATCTCAGCATTTGAAACAGGCCTCTTGCATCTCGGTGTCAGATAAAGAACACATCGGCTTCCTGCCTTTTGTGCAAGATGCTCTTTCACTTCAGAAACCTGCATATGCTTCTCAGCATTGATAATGCCGGCAACATTTTTTGTCATATATATCATATATATTTTTTGTCTCCACAAAGAATATATAACAGTATCCAAAAACAATACCTGTGCTGCTGTAAAATGCCAGCTTTGTGGTTGTGTGGAACTTCTGAATGAGAAACTGGGACAGCGATATCCTGTCATCAGTTTTGAGCGAGTCATTCCCTTTCTTCCAGTACAGCATCAGATCATCATCAGTGTAGGCATCTGAAACAATATCAACTCTCTTGATTGATACCGAGACGATGAGCTGCCCGATTCTCTCAGCTCTACAATAATTCAGAAAGCAGAAGGTTCCTGAAGGACGATGGAAACTTACAGCTCTCGATCTCTAAGGAACAGGTTTGAGTGTCCAGTGGGAAACGACTCAGGTCCATGTTGCACATGGCCGTGACTGTCACCCTGAGGATACACAATAGTATTAGGGACGGTGTGGTGGCTCTGTGGTTAAGGATCTGCGCCTGTGGCTGGTTGCTGGTTCGTATCCCACGGCTGCCAGAGGAATCCTACTCCATTGGGCCCCTGAGCAAGGCCCTTCACCCCAACTGCTCCAGGGGTGCTGTATAAATGGCTGACTCTGTGCTCTGACCCCAAGCTTCTCTCCCTGTCTATGTCTCATGAAGAGCAAGCTGGGGTATGTGAAAAGACAAATTCCTCATACAAGAAACTCTATATGGCCAATAAAGTGATCTTATCTTAATAGTAGGGTAATGTGGGTACAATAAAATGTATTTCTACTTCTTTTTTAACAAGAGGAATGTTTTGGTTTATCCACTGGTTGGAAGAAATACACTCAAACATTTCACACATTTTAATCTATAATAGTTAACAATGCAAAGATAATTGAGTACTCCTGTTAGGTGCAATATCATGAAATTTCATGTTGAAAAGTGATCCACACAGGAAGCAGGAAAATACACTGAAATAATTCCTTGCATTTATACAGCACTTATAATCCTTCAGTATCTCAGCGCACAACATGTCCATCTACTACGCCCACCACTCAAGTGCAGTAAAACCTTGTGGATAAAAGCAAACACAAAATTGCAGTGATACATAACATATAAATAATGATACAAACGAGAGTAAAATGTAAAACAACAGGCAAGGGGCGTTATTACAGCTGTAATTTTCTGGCTGCTGGGGAAAGGATGACCAAAGAAAAATAACGATATATTAAGTTGTACCTGACTTCCCATTGTGTAAACACGTCATGTACCTCAAAATTATGGCAAGCTGGGGCGCCAGTGGGAGCTGCTACCTCACAGCTCTTGGATCCACAGTTCAGTTCTGACCTGGGGACACAGTCCGTGGGGAGTTTGCATGGTCTCTCCCCAGCCAAGTGGGTTTTCTCCCACAGTCCAAAGACGTGCTGCTGATGCACACTGTCCTCCCTGTTACCCTCCTCAGTGCACGTGTCTGACTGGCTATCTGTCCTACCCTGTGCCCACTGTCTGCTGCCTGGATCGCGCCGTGTGGTGACTGGAAACAGGTGGCTGGGAGAAATGATCTTTTGGCTCATTTGTCAGGAGCTGTCAAAACAAATTTCCAGTTTGTTTTGGAAAAAAAACTACTTATGAAAGGTGGCAAGCGGCCCACCAATGTGTTCTTGGTGTCTTCGATGCACCAGGGTGGGAGTGGGGGGTTTTAACGGAACAGCTGTCCGTCATCGACACGGTAATTTAGATGCTTCCCACAGATCTCCTTATAGATTAGTGCCGTGTTCACTGTGTGAGCATTAAGCCTGCAGCCTCCCTGCGCCAGTACTCCTGTAATTAATGACATATTTGTTCTAAAGAGAAATGACGTGGGTGGAAACCGTCTTCTTCACAGCTTGTCGCGGTCAGTGGCAGGCGGTAGTACTCCGATTTAGCTGTAACGTGTTCCAGAGAATTAACTTAAAATAACGCACCACAAATCTTAAATTCACCCATCTGCACTCATGCCTCTGGGGTAACCAAAACATTTTCTTTGTGTTTGATAAACATCTCTTCAGTTCTTTATTATTTTATAAAATTCTATCTTCATTCAATTAACCATTATTATACCATTCTAAAGGAAAGTCCACAAGTGCTGTATTGGATTGCTGTAGGTCTGTGCCAGTATTTGAATCGGCTGTTTTTTTTTAAATAAACATGCAAGTATTGGGATTTTAAGTTTTCATTCTGTTAGAAAGTGAATATTTCGTTTGAAAGAAACATCAGATTTTAAACGTCCAGCATGAACGTTCAACAAAGTGGTGAAAGGAAGTTTTAATATTAATTAATAGTATTATTTTCACACACCTCTAGAAGAGGAGTGTGTCTTTTTTTTTATGTGGAATTTACATCTGCTGGCTTTGCAGCTGCCTTTTACGTTGACACGGCTCCCAAAATACAGTCCTCACATTTTGGTGTTTTAACTTGTGTATGTTCTGACTGGCCACAGGGCTACTGAGCATGTGTGTCTGGATTATCGTATAGCCACTCCGTTCAATCCAGACGGAGGAGAGCTGTGAAGTCTGTAAGGAAGCTGTGAAGCACACAGATACATAGAAACCCTTCTTTACGTCGGAGGTATAAAAAGCACTAGTGACTAGTATGTAGGAGGCACATGCCCGGAACAGGAAATCAATTTCTCGAATGCTTTATAATTATATGTGGAAGACTGTGTTTTGGAGGGAATTAAGTAATACTGGACCTGCCACTTGTGGTCACCAACAGCCTCTGGCACATGTCAATAGGAGCAACAGTTGATGTATTTACTGGATTATTATTGACGGGATTAAAATTACAAATTAATGGTGTGGTGGTATATAAAAAATCCAGGCAGAGGGAAAAAGTTTTGGTGTCGAGAACAGGGTTCTGTGGTTTTTGACCTGCTAAACCTCCACAATCATCATGAACCTCGAGGACAGTTATCGTGAGCTGTGCTCTCAGAGGTCTGGGCCCTTTTTAATGTTTTTTTTTTCTTCAAACTGTGTAGTTACCTAATCTGTTAAATTATTAAAAAATATTGTACACATTTCATAAGTATTGGAAAAGCTTGTTGTGATACTTTCAGACTTGAAGAGCTAGCATTTCTCTCTGGAAATCTCTTGAAGTGAAAAAATACTGGACAAGAGCAACAGTGCATTATTTCATGTAACATAACATAACTTTATTAGCCCTATACAATTTCTTGCACTAGAAATTCGTCTTTTCGTATACCCCAGCTTGCTCTCCATGAGACACACAGACAGGGAGAGAAGCTTGGGGTCAGAGCGCAGGGTCAGCCATTGTACAGCGCCCCTGGAGCAGTTGGGGTTAAGGGCCTTGCTCAGGGGCCCAACGGAGTAGGATTCCTCTACCGGCTGCGGGATTTGAACTGGCAACCTTCCAGCTACAGGCACAGATCCTTAGCCACAGAGCCACGACTCCGCCCCAAAGCTTTTTTCTTTGTGGGCTTGAACCCAGATCTGCACTGACCAGACATTAGTCTGGGTATGTACCCCATACAAACACTGATGCTTCAAATGTGTGGCCATCAGAAAGCCCTTTGCACTGGAAATGCTTACACTCTCCCCTCAGACAATAAAAAGAAGATGGAGAGAAACTCAAACTCACAGCAACAGGGACTGCCTGAGTTAGAGTGTCAACATAAGCACATGAAACAATAATGGTTACAAATGAAAGGACACCGTTTGACTGCTCTCGCTTGGTAGTTAATTGAGCCAAGGATCATACAGCTGTTTCTTGAACAACAACAGGGTTTCAGCATCAAAAACACAGCTGGGTAGCTTGTTCCATACTCCCACAAGCCTTTGGGTAAAGAAGTGCCTCCTGTTTTCAGTTTTAAATGCGTGGAAAGTCGTGGAAACGGCTCTTGCTTGGCCATTGTTGTTAAATCGGTAACTGAAGCTCTGCGGGTGATGAGATCATGCACACAGTAAATGGACCTCAACTCCATCTGGACAGATGTTGTGTGAGAAGGGTGTAGGCATGTTCCTAGAGCAGGCATTGCGCCGCATAATCAGAAGAATCACTTTGGAACTCGGCTGTGGATATTTACTATGGAAATAGTGGAAATGTCCAAAAGGAAAGCATTTGCTTAGAGGGTTACAATAGTACTCCAGTGTGGCATCTGGTCAACTAAGTAACCACAACCTGGTAATGAGGTCCTGAAAAGAAAGAGAGAATCCCCTGCCTATCACTGTGCTGTGACATGTCAGAGCAAGACAAGTGTTCTTCGTTGGCTTGGTGTAAAGAATTTCTCTTAAATGATTACTTGGTAAGGTTTGCAGAAGAATGGGGAATGTTTGAAATTCTAGCAGGGATATCTGCCTGCAAAACCACTCCGTCAGCCTGGCCCACCTCCTGTTCGTCTTGGCAGATTGCTCAGGATAATGAGGTTTCGCCACCCAGTTCATCAGGCCACCCGGGTGCAAAGTGATTACATCTTTTATGTAACAAGAGTCTTTGGCTGCTAAACTGTTACCCAAGCATCAGGGCTTCTCCCTTGCCTGTCTGCCCATCTATTACATGGCCAGTCCTAGTGTTTGATAAGTACTGTGAAAAGCACCAAACAAATGATAAACTACACTTCCCATTTCGTTCTGCGGCACTGTGGGCACCCATTTAGAAGGAGGTGCAGTTAGAGGCTCTTGTAGTGAACAAAAAATAACTAGAAATAAAAGGGGAATGAAACAGTAGAGCCTTGATCAGGAGAAGAGCTGGGATCACGATAGCAGAAAGGGAACTGCCAGTTCCCAGGAGAGGAACCACAGAATTACCTCGCACCAAAAAGGGTGCAGATTATGAACAAACATATTGGTGCATCAATGTTTTCAGAAAACGAGTTATTACCTTAAGCTATAAAGGACCTTTCCATCTGGGTAAACTCTCAACATAACATTGTCGGTGGTTGTGTCGTGGATGAAGGACCTCTTGGAATGAACAAAGAACATGTCTGGGACCCAGATCTTCTTCACCAGTCTCCCATCAAAGGTCATGCTCTGGTTGTTGGTGCTCGGAAAGGCTAATCGCTCGTCTTTCCAGTAGTGTCTCAAGTACAAGGTCATCGTGAAATCCTGAAACACGCAGCAACAGTGTTAGATATTCTCAAATCGCAAAGTGGATCAATGGCAGTAAACGTGATGGCAGCAAACTACACTTTTCAGAAGGCTTTTTCTAAAGTAATGAATGTTTTTGGATAGAGAACTGCTTAACCGGTGAACAGACACCAGCAGAATAGACACTATTCAAAATTATCTTTATGTTGACTAGTTTGGGTTTTATGGGGTACGCCTGGTTGCTATTTTTTGTTAAAATATTTTGTGTTCACCCTCTTCTCTACAAAGTGCTTTCATGTGATGGGTGTAGGCCTGTTTTTGTTTTAGATTTGAACGCTTTTTTTCCTGTATCTGGATTTCATCAGTGACCAGGAAGGGGCTTCCACAAGACCCAGCTGGGAGGATGTTTCAAGAGCAGAATGTGGTGGGCACACAGATTTCACCACTGGACACAGTAGAGGACGGGGACACCAGAGGTGTACCCTACAGAAGGAAGGCTTAGAATCCATCTACCTCTCCCTGCCCTGTGTCAGACTCGCAGAAACAGGGTGAGGGAGGATAAGGGACCTAACTGTTTAGGAGGAGCAGGACTGAAGAATTTGCCTATCAACACCAAAGGGCTATACAGTGGAAGAAGACACACTAGGCTACAGATCAGAAGTATTTCATGTGAGTATTGCTTTTAGACTTTTCTTTCCTTATTTGGGCCTGTGGTTTTAGTTTACTGGGGACTGTGACCATAATGTGTTTCTGTGAGTGCATGTGTCCCTTGTGTCCTCTGTGTGATGGGTAGGCAGTGTTGACTGCTGTACTTGCTTGAGAATAAATGTGGATATTGCCTTAAGCAATCCAAATGGTTTTCAAGCCTGCTAACACGTCAATGATTCGTAATGATTAAAAACTAAGATCTCAGATTATTCAAATAGAACTTGCTATCCATAATGAGGAAAAATGGAATGGTTAGTGCAAATATTTAGATTATCACAAAGTAGTAGTCAGGATCCATTTAATGTCAAGGGACGTTCATAACCAGCACATCAATTTCAATCAAGTTATTCTTTTTGATTTAAGCAATTTAGGAGTAATCTGATGGTGTGCTTAAGGTTACCATGCTGCCAGACAAACCCTTAATCAATTAGCTCAGATTACTACACTGATCTGATCTGAATGTAACAGACATTACTACTGAACTGTCCTCCATTTTTGTTGTAAGCATTTTTGGCAACTAATACAGTTAAAATTCTTTAGACTTACTTTGTATGTGTCAACAGCAATGTCCCTGTGAAACTTTACTTACTGGCTTGAAATGCCCAGCAGCTACTTCATGTAATGCAGCACATTGGAAGCTGTTACACCAGCACGAACACATTAAAAATATGAACAAAGCAAAAGGGCCC